CTCAGTTGGTTAAGTGGCTGCCTTTGGCTCAGGTCCTGATCCCAGGGTGTTGGGATCAAGCCCCATAATGGGCTCTGCTCAGTGGGGAGCCTGCTTCTCCCGCTCTCTCTGCCTGCCACTCTGTTTGTGCTCTCTGTGTCAAATAAATAAATAAAATCTTAAAAAAATAAAAAATAAAATTTTGACACTTCAGTTTTCACAAAATTGTAAGTTTCAGATTCTTGTCTTACAGTAAAGTAACCTGTTAAGGTAATTTATACATGTTTCCTAACTGATATATTCTCCATACTAAATTAAAGAATTAGAGTGCCAGAAAGAGTATATAAGACCATCATTCAAATGGCTGTTTTTACTAATCACTTCCTAGTTGAGTTGAATTTGAGTCATTGGTCTGAAGATCTTACCATTTCATTTACTTGGTGTGTACATTTTACTTATTTATTTAGTAGCGGGGGGAGGGGCAAAGGGAGAGGGAGAGAGAGAATCTCTGGCAGACTCCCCACTGAGTACAGAGTCAGACTCCTGCAATTTCTGTGGTCACTATGAAGGTTTTCATCCTGGTAATATGTGTGAAATGTGTAGAAATTGCCACAGTGAATCTAGAAGCAAATAATATTTCTTGAGAAACTTCATTATTCGTCAAATATTTATTAAGCATGTGTTATGTTAGATGTTGGAGATACAAAAAAGAAAGACATTGTTCCTATGCTCAAGAAGTTCATAATCTGGATGAGATAAATACATAAAAAAGTGGGTAATATCAAGTAATAAGGGCCAAGTTATGTGAATGAAGAGCTTTATGAGCAGTAGGGCCAAGAGGTTAGGGTGTAAGAATGGGAAAAATAGGAAAGCTAGGAAAGGCCTCGTTTGAGAGAGGATAACTAACCGAGCTCTGAGAATGATTGGGTTTTATTCGAAGGAATAGGATTTTTCACATACAGGAAGGTATTAAGCATAGTGGTTGAGAACAGATTTTTGGTTTGATGGATTTGGTTGGGAATTTGCTTTATTACTAACTCTGATTTCAAGATTTGGGATTACTTAAACTTGAACGGTTAAGGCAGTGCTGGGCACACACTGGACGCTCACAAAATGAAAGCTGTGTATACCGCTCTTATTCTTACTCATAATTATTAAACCATAAGCCAAAGCAGAGCAGTATGAAAATATAAAGCACTGTTTTCTGAGACATCCTATGGCTGTGAGTAGGCTGTGTCTGTCAGGGGAATTACTTGAGTGTTGAAAGTTACAAGGGGAAACAAGTGTAGTAGGTGATGCATTTGGTCTCCACCTCGATGCCCTCCACTAACCGATGTATTTCTCCGCCATCCCTTCTAGCTGCCCCCTTCCTCAGAGACCTGGCCTTGGCCAAGGCAGCTGTCTTACCCAGGTGCAGGTTTCTCACTCAGTTCTGCAGCCAGTGATTGACAGATGAAAGGTCGCCTCAGAGCAAAACCAGCATGTGGTATAATTCATGCTCCAGAGCATCCTGTGGGAGCTGAGCCCCTGAACCGACTTACCTTTTTCTCCCCGCTTAGTTCTGCTCTGCTTACTCCCCTTCTGCTAAAACTCTTGTACAAGAATTCCTGTCCTGATCTCTTAGTTTCTGTCGACTTCTGTGGACTCTAACCTGAGGTACTTCGGACTAGATTGGGAAAGTCCTTGGATGTTTGGCTTAGAATTCCAAGTGCTGTCCTATTGCATTGGGAAACCTAATATATTTTATTTTATTTTTTTAAAGATTTATTTATTTGACGGAGAGAGAGAGAGATCACAAGTAGGCAGAGAGGCAGGCAGAGAGAGAGGGGAAAGCAGGCTCCCTGCTGAGCAGAGAGCCCGATGCAGGGCTGGATCCCAGGACCCTGAGATACGACCTGAGCTGAAGGCAGAGGCTTAACCCACTGAGCCACCCAGATGCCATGTATTTTAAAAGGATCACTTTAGTAAAGAGTGGCGTGGAGTGGAAAGTGAGTAGAGGCCTAAGATAGGAGCTTTGACATAATTAAGGAGTGATAAATACCTCACTCATTTATCATTGATTAGGGTAGGGGAATAGGAGATAGAAAAGTTGTTTGTAGGGACTGGGAAGAACTGAGAAGTTTTAGATAATTTGAATCTACGGAGGAGGAATCAGAGAAGTTTCTAGATTGAGTGACTAGGCAAATAGTTCATCAGTAGTTCTATCAACTATTTCAAAGAGTTGAAAAAATAAGACTCCTAGGAAGAGGTAGTTTTGGAAAGAGTTAATGAGTTCAGTTTTGACTCTGTTGAATTTAAAGTACCTCAGGAATGTCATAGGTGAAAGTGTTCAGGAAGTTGTAGGAAATACTTGTCTGCAGTACAGAAGGTGGGTTCAGGTCAACAACATTAGGGACAAATAGGAGTTTGTGGGACCTGAGACAAAACATTGGGGATTCCATTTTGTCATTTAGAATGGTTTCAGCTACAAGCATAAGATTTAAAACTGATTTAAGAGTAAAGGGGGTTTATTGGCTTCAGTATCTGAAAACTCAGTGGTGGGTAGGTTTCAGGTGTTCAGGTGAAGTGTCTGGCTCCATTTTCTATGATTACTTTTGTTCTACCACCTCCATGTGTCAGGTTTTTTTTTTTTTTTTTTTTTTTTTTTAAGATTTTATTTATTTGTCAGAGAGCAGCAGCACAGAGAGCTCCAGGCAGAGCAGGCAGAGGGAGAAGCAGGCTCCTCGCTGAGCAGGGAGCCCAGTGTGGGACTCGATCCCAGGACCCTGGGAACGTGACCTGAGCCATAGGCAGATGCTTAACCGATGGAGCCACCCAGGCGTCCCAAAATTTTGTTGTTTTTCAAGGGAGGCAAAGTGACTCTGGTGATTCCAGGATTCCATCAGCAAACTGCATATTCAGAAGGCGAGAGAAAATCTGTGTTCCTTAATTCCTGGTAGAAGTACTAACCTTGGAGCTGGTTGATCAGTTTTGAGGAGGTGGGCATTGTTACAAAGAGAAGGGTTTTCTGATTGGTTACAAATCAGCAGGCTGGAGATGGGAGAGCTTAGGCCCATCTAAAGAGCATGACTGTCATACTAGGTGTGTGTGGGGGGTGGAGTGGATGTTTGGGCAAAAGCACAGAATTCACTCTGATTATTTTACGTATGAGGAACAGATAGGGAAAAGAGCCAGTGACACAGGAAAATGGTGAGAGAGATGGGAGGAGAGTCCTAGAGAGGAAGGACTAAAGCTGTCAATTCAGATAGCCATTGGATTTGATGGGTGGCCACTGGTGACCCGAGAACAGTGTCTCTAGCCTGTAGGGGTAGAACTTATCTCTAGCCTGTAGGGGTAGATGGTTGTGTGATGGGCAATGATGTGAAAGCAGAATGGGGTGTGTGTGTGTGTGTTTAAAGAAATTAAGGAGTAAATAGAAGGTGGTAGTTTTAGAAAAAACCAGATTAAGGGAGGCTAAAAAGTTAATTTAGAAAATGATTATGGGAGACTTTCATCCGTGTTTGGGGGTTGAAGTCAGGTGGCTTCAGTTTGTGCTCTGGCTCTAGAGATAACCCCTTGTAGGGCCCTGGACAAGTCACTCTGTTTTGTCAGGCTCTGATGAGTAATTGTCACGACAAACATTTCACAGGAAAGCTATTAGGGTCAAGCGAGATAGTATGTAAAAGAGGTTTGTCAACTGAACTGTTATACAAATAATAGTTGGTAGTAAGCACGTTGTTTATTTAAACTCTATCTTTGGGTGAAGGAGTGTCATGCAGTGTGGAACTACAAGTATGTAGAGTTGAAAGGTCTGAAAGGAGCAGGGACGGGGGAGAGAGAGAGAGGATGTGAAGGAATGGATCAATAGAATGTGGTCCCAGTCCAGAGCAGTTATTCCCTTGAACATGGCTACATGCCAGTAAAGCAGAAAGCCCTTAGAGTTTACATGATTTTTGTTAGCAGTATTTTGTGTGGCCCAAGAAGAGGACTCCTTGCTGATTTGCACATATGCCATTTCCGTTCCTCTGGAACCGGGAGAAAGGAACACAATACAGATGTTTGTTGTTGGGTGCCTGGGTGGCTCAGTTGTTAAGCGTCTGCCTTCAGCTCAAGTCATGACCCCAGGGTCCTGGGGTCGATCCCTGCGTGGGCTCCCTGCTCAGCAGGAAGCCTGCTTCTCCCTCTCCCACTCCCCCTGCTACATCCCCTCTCTCTGTCAAATAAATGAAAAAATCTTTTTTTTTTTTTTTTTAAAGATTTTTTATTTATTTATTTGACAGAGAGAGATCACAAGCAGGCAGAGAGGCAGGCAGAGAGAGAGAGAGGAGGAAGCAGGCTCCCCGCTGAGCAGAGAGCCCGATGTGGGGCTTGATCCCAGGACCCCGGGATCATGACCTGAGCCGAAGGCAGAGGCTTAACCCACTGAACCACCCAGGCGCCCTGAAAAAATCTTTTTTAAAAAATGTTTATTGTTTAGGCGGTCAGGATGACTTTTATTTGATGTTGCAAAGTTTGTGTTAATAATAATAAATGTTTAATACTAGAGGCGCTGTGAATTTATGTGTCATTAGGTACATGATTGATCTTGGCTTAGACTCTAAAAGCCAGTGCGTTTAGCCAAATAGTCTAAATAATTTAAAAATTCTTGGATCATAATTCTTTTTTTTTTCATATATTATTGTTGAAGTTGGTAGACCTTTTGAAATCATTAAATATAATTTTATTCTTACATATTTCTGTTTCTTAGGTTGAACAGTGTCACTTTCTGTGCTTCGTTTTAAGCTCTCTGTGTTTCAAAGTGTAACAGGGAGAGTAACAAACAGGTACCTGTCCTGGAAGGTGATAGTGAAGGTGAAGTGAGCTACAGAACTTAGAATGGTGCCAGGCATAGTTAATGTTAGTGGCCGTAATGATTAGTTCTTGACATATATTAGAAAGCATTAAGCGAACCGATACTCCGGCATAAAACAGTTGGAGAGATCGGCGCATTTGCTTTGGAGTCAATGGAGAAAAGATAAGTTGTTTCCTTAACTACAATTCAGATTCCATGCTGGTTTCCATCGTGGGGATGGCCCTGTACACAGGCTACGTCTTCATGCCTCAGCACATCATGGCGATACTGCACTACTTTGAACTTGTACAGTGACCAAGACGTGACCCAAATTGAGTGACTCTTTGGGGAAGGACCATCCTCTGAAGTTGGAATGAAACCTCATCAGATGTCATAAGAAACTCTACTAGATGTCAACACAACCAACCCTATGAATATAAAGACTAAAATTCATGAGTAGAACAGGAAAATGATCCTGACTCATGTGTTGTGTTCTTTATTTTTAATTTTAAAAGAGGCTCTTGTATAGTAGTTTTTGTCTATTTTAACATTGTAGTCATTTGTACTTTGATATCAGTATTTTCTTAACCTTTGTGACTGTTTCAATATTACCCTGTGAAAGCTTTTCTTAATGTAACTTTGAGTACATTTTAATTGCCTTCTATTTCTAAAACCCAAAGTCATTAGCTGGGCTGTACTGTCCTCGCTCTCGTATGGCACATACATCTGCCTGAATATATTTCTACTCTGGACCAAAGTTTTGTAAGAAACAATACAAGATCCAGGGCAGGGGGATGGGGAGGGAGGATATTTTATCGAGAACTATTTGCAAAAGACTTACCTGTAAGTTTGAACTCAGGAGTATGGTTTTAGCTATCTAGACTCTACTCTTAACAGCTTTTGCTTTAAAACTACTCAAGTATTTCTTACAATGAAAATGAAAGATCTTGCTAAAGTTAAAATAAGGAACATTTCACCTTTTAAATATTCAATTCTTATGTGGACTCGTTTCCAGAAAACTTTGGTGATGATTCTTAGTGACAAAAGGTGGTTAAATAGCATTATTATGTAATGCTTATATACCATAGAATTTTTAGGAGAAAGTAAATCAGTTGCTTCTGAGGGTTATTGTAAACAATGTACTTCCTTAAATTTAGTTTCCTGATTGTAATGGGTGCTGCAGATGCATTTGCACATTGCAATAAGATGAGATGAATTGTTAAAAACTATAGCAAAAAGAAGTGTAAACTTGGTTAAAATCCTTTCACTCTTTGTATTTTTTTTAAAGATTTTTATTCCTTAAATGTAAAATGACTACCTGATTTTTTGATGTAAACTCATTAAATTCAAAGAAAAATCAGCTGATGTAGCAGTGTATTTTTTTTTTTTTTGACTGTTAAATATTGGTCTAGTATTTAAATTTCTGAGTTGATTGCTGTGGACAGGTAAGCAGCAAGTATATCTTAACATTCTCTCAACATAAAAGTGTTGCTTGTTAAAAAAAAAACTAGACCTGGGGGCGCCTGTGTGGCTCAGTGGGTTAAGCCTCTGCCTTCAGCTCAGGTTGTGATCCCAGGGTCCTGGGATGGAGCCCCGCATCAGGCTCTCTGCTCAGCAGGGAGCCTCCTCCCTCTCTCTCTGCCTGCTTCTCTGCTTACTTGTGATCTCTGTCTGTCAAATAGATAAAATCTTAAAAAAAAAACCAAACTAGACTTGTTTTAACATGCCTCCCATAATAAGTTTTACTATTTCAAAAAATGTAAGTATTTTTGGCTCTAGTTTTTAAGGACTAGCCTTTTGAAGTGTTTTCTAGCCTAGAGGTATGGAGTAATATATAAAAGTTGGGTATTTTCAGAGTCAATTTATATCATTACTGTTAAATACGGATGGTGGGGATAATTTGTAATATTTCAGTATTCAAGCAAGTTAATGAATATGAGGAATTAACTTTGAATTTGTTCTATTAATGATCAAATTTGGCTTCGGCCACCGCCCCCCTCCCTCCCATAGAGAACCACTGGTAAGTGGCTGTCTAATATCTGAATTTCTGGTGAGTTAAAGGCAGGAAAAGTTGAGACTCACTAGTTTAAATAGGTATAGAAGACTTATCCTAGACCTCTACACGGAAATCTTTAATTCACCCTCACTCTTCTCTGAAATCCATTAAATTACTGTTCCATAGCTGGTGATTGAAACAGTGGTGATGGAAACACTGGCCTATGAGATATGAGATAGACGGAAGAGAAGTTTAGCTTTCCAGAGACTCTTGAGAGTCAGAAATAGGAACAGGTCTGTTAAGTAGAAGGCTATTTAATGAGAGAGTGTCTCCTTCTGGAGCAAAGGACACTATAAAAGATTCAGGTTCCCTATGCTCAGGGTTCTTCCCTGAAATGCCACCCTCTGCATGTATACATATTACCTAGCCTTTCCTTTGATTGTCCTGTTGGAAGTTGGGCTTGGGAACCAGAACAACACAATGATACTTTGGCTGTTGCTGTGAGTAATAAAGTCCTCTGTGTCCAACCCTAGAATCTCAAGTCTTTCTGCCATCACTCACAGAACTGGGCCAGGCTAACTCGTTAGCTTGCAAGTAGGGTAAAGTCTCAGCCCCTTCACAGTTCTTGACAGTTTGGGAGATGAAGATGAGAAGCTGACAGAGACATGGTCTCTGGAAGAGGAAGGGTAATGACCCCACAGGCCAGACCCAGGGTGGAACCTCCTTCTTGTGATCTGGTAGTAAATGCTGTTTCCCAAGTATTGGGTGGGTTATGGGAGTAAGGGTCCCCTATTACCTACTTGTTAATGAATGATTAGAGGCTGAATAGGGAGTAGGATTGGAACAAGCTGCCTAAAATATGCCTTCATTGTTGGGCAGATGGGAGAAGAAATCTTATGATAATGGGACAACTCTAAAGACAATGTGGCTGTGGCTACTAAGCAAAAGAATCTCAAAAACTGAAATAAGTGGCATCAGCAGCGAGGAACATTTTATTTAACAAAGACCTAAAAACATTAAAATTTCATTGAGGTGAGCCATGTAGGAGTGGCCACTGGAATTGAACGCAGAGCCTTGCTTATTGGCTTAGAGCCACTCATTGTCTCCGTGCCCTCTGCTCCCTTCGCTTCTACCCTGACTTCATTTTCATTAAGGAGAATGATGGAGCCTGGTCGCTCAGGTTATTCATGAGAACTATCTGTTTCATTCCGTCCTCAATGAGAGAAGGCTAGGTCAGTAGCCGGTGAGAAAAACATGATAACTTGGACCAGGGTGGTGGCGCTGGAGGTAGAAACCACAGGATTTGGTGACTAATTAGATACATTTGATGATGGGAAGGAGAGAGGCCAGGCTTCTGTCTTGAGCCACTTGGTAAATGGTGACATTCACTAATACAGTGACCGGGGGAAGGGATCAGGTATAGGGTGATCAGAATTCAGTGGTTCGTAGTTGGTAAAGGACTTTGTAAGCCATATTAAGGAGTATGGACACTATCCCTAGAGCAGTGGGGAGTCATTGAGGAGTTTTAAGTGAGTGAGTGTTATCAGATTTGCATTTTAGAAAGGTTGTGAGGTTGAACATGTATTGGAGGGGATAAAAACTCTGTTAAGAGGACTACTTAAGAGGCTGTTAAAAATTTAAGGCAATGCATGGTGACCAAAACTTTTGTTGCAGTGGAGATGAGAAGTGGATGAAACTGAGAGATACTGATTTGAGAAGAGAGAAAATTAGGCGAGATGGACGTCATGGTTGCTGACCGGATTTTTGGCTGACTCAGTTGAATGGTTAGTGATTCCATTCATTAAAAATTAAAGAGATGAATGAGTTGGGCGTAGGAGGAAGTTATTTTAGTTTTTGATATGTTGAGTTTGATGTTAGTGAAATACTTGAGTGGACGTATTTACTAGTCTGATGAATATGGAGATAAAATCAGGAAATGGATCTGGGCTGAAGCTATATATAGGTATAGATACATAAATAGAGATGTTGATATATAACATATATTTGCCTGTCTTGGATAGATGATGATTGAAAAGGATCATCCCTTTGAGAGGATCGAAGTTCCTAGGAAGAGCATAGAAAGCAGAGGTTCATAAACTGGTGCCTAAGCCTATTAAAGCTCCTGAAAGTATATGCAAAATTATATGTAAATTTTCTGAGGAACTTTCCCATTACTTTAATCAGATTTTTAAAGTCAACATTGATTTGAAAGGATTAAGACCCATTGTCATAATCTGTATTTTATTTTCTTTTCTTTCTTTCTTTCTTTCTTTCTTTCTTTCTTTCTTTCTTTCTTTCTTTCTGCAATGGACATGAACTAATTAGTAATTAAAAAACCTATGGTACTATAAGCTAGATTGGAGCATGACAGAAAAGGGGGAAAACTGGCAAAATCTATGAGAAAGGGTTTACTCTCCTAATCTACAAAAACATTTTGGAAATCAATAAAAAATAGAGTTCCATAACCCCTTATTGAAAACCTCTGGTAATATAAATACTTCATTTTTGGGATATTTAGGAAGGTAAATAGTATATATTACTTAATATTCCCAGGGCAGTATATGGTTTATCAAATACATTTTTAAAAAGTTTATTTTTTTTATTTTTTTTTATTTACTAGAGAGAGAGGGAAAGCAATCATAAGCAGGGGCAGGGGCAGAGGGAGAGAGAGAAGCAGACTCCCTGCTGAGCAGGGAACCAGATGTGGGGCTCTCTCCAGGACCCTAGGATCATGACCTGAGCTGAACGCAGATGCTTCACCAACTGAGCCACCCAGTAGCTAATTTTATTTTTAAGGTTTTATTTTCAAGTAATCACCATACCCAGCATGGGGCTTGAACTCACAACCCTGACATCAAGAGTTACATGCCCCACTGACTGAGCCAGCCAGGTGTTCCCACAAGCCTTTTCTTCTCTTACCCAACTCCCCATCACTTTCCTAGCCTTCTTCTACTTCAGGGCTCAGGGTGTTACCTAGGCTCTTTCCTTCTCCTGGAGGGTGTCTCCCCCACCCTCCTTCTAGATTTTCTCTGGTCTACCCAGTATAGGTGTCTCTTCCTCAGGAGAGCCCTGTGACACTCCAGACCAAGGGGCGGGCCCTGGGACACAGGGTCACTTAGCACACTTCCCTGATTTGTGTTATAAGTTATCTCTCTCCTACTAGTCTATAAAAACTGTGAGAGTTGGTCTTGTGTTTGTCTTGTTCTTTTCTATTTTAATATCTGTAAATATAACTGGAATGAAGAAATTTATGTTTTGAAGATACAAAAATTACTTTTTCCCCTATTTGCTATTCCATGAAAGGGAACCACATTCCCCTTCCTGTTTAAAATTTTAGTAGCAGATTCTATAATGGATACTTAAAGACTATGCTTTTGAAAAAGCAAGACCCATTAAAAATAGAAGTACCTTTAATTTTCCCCCCAAGTATAACAATGATAGAAATCTGCTGGACAAAATTTCAGCAAGTTTGGATGGCACTTAGCACATTTTGTTAAAATCATCATGTTATTATCATCAGTACTTATTGTTGAGAATCTATTACATATGAGTGCTTTACACTCGGAATCCTTAACTTGTCCTGCGTGGTTGGTATCATCTCTATTTCACAGATAAGGAAAGCAAGGTTAGGAGAGACTTTCATAGGTCACACGCTCATAAGTGATGTGTGTGTGTGTGTGTGTGTGTGTGTGTGTGTGTGTGTATGTGTCTGCAGATACATGCCCACGGCTATCAGGCTAGAAACTCTGTGTGCCTCCCTCTGTCAAGGGGTTCCTCTCCAGGATGATGGTCCCTGATGGTTCCGATTCAGATCTGGCACGGAGCCCGAAATCCCTACTAGTCAGTTATGTGGTTCTATAGTTACTAGTTCTACGATACCAGACAGTCTTCTCTTCTTAATTTAGGAGAAAAGTATAAGCAGGCCTGACTTGATATCTGATCATTTCACTTAAGGTGTCAAGTTGTTTGTGCTCCTGGTATTGATTCTGGCCAGCAAATAAGCATTGAACTTGGGAGCCCTCCTCCATAGATCTGCTTGCTAATGCTCCTAGTTGTGTCCTTCTGTGGTTAAGGTCTCATTTTATCTTCAGGATTCCTTCCTTCTGTGCTGCCCATGTTTTGATCCTGGGGCATCTTGCCTGGGGACTGTGACCTCTTGGGATCCTTAGGTTGTGGGCTCAAGTTGAAGAGCAGGGAAGGAGAGGTCAGAATGAAGCCAAGAAATATTGGGAAATAAAAGGGAGAGAGAGAAGGAAGAGGAAAGGGACAGAAGAAAGAGAAGGAGGGGGAGAGGGAAAAGAATCTGACAAATAAAAGAGTATTTGTGATTAAGGAGTAATAAATTTCATTTTTTTATATGACTG